CATTGAAGTCCTACTGTGGTAGAAACAGAAATGTAGCATTATCAGTAATCCTCAAAATTCCGTTATGTATGCGGGTAAAATAATCTTCTTAATAATTTCACCAACAGACGATTGAAAGACCACAAACCGTAAAATATTGTATTGACCAGTGTCCACAACCTCGCACTGGATTTCACTACAAGGACAGAGATGTCAACTCCAAGCCACATTAATACGTTATGTCACTTTCGTGTTTTTGCGGGGGGGGGAGACATTTTTGGGGAACGTTTTGAATAATTGTGACATCCATTTCCATCGGTTATCCGCTGGGATCTCACTCACCTATTACGCCTGTCACATTTGATTGTAATCTGTTCCAATGACAACTACGTTTCCACCTCCAGAAACAGTTGCGGTTGGAAAAGACTTTTATAAGGTTTGTATAATTGTGAAAAATTTACGCATCACGATCGAGATCAATACGAATTAAAATTTTATATGTGGCGACGTGCTTTTTTAGTTGTGAAAAACAATAACTCAGAAGTGACTGCACTGTCCACCAATCTGACTTGATTGAGCATCATATGAAAGACCGAAGTATTAAATAGAAAAGAGAAACACTTGTGATGAAGCCAAATTATGAAAAATAGCTCAGTTGTTTTCGTGAAATCTGGTTTTGGGACGCTCATTCCCATGTACTCTGTGCGTTTATTCCAATGATCGAATGCGAAAAGTTTTGCCTAATGGTAAAATGTGCCGTTGTTATGGAAGAGGATAAGGGACAGAATTCTTTGTTGCACCAATGGCAATCTCCCTCTGATCTGTGCACCAATGAAGCTAACAGTAACTGAATTGCATCCGATGACTGCGCCACAACCTATCTCTCAATTCTATTGAGAATGATCTATGCAAAACCAGTATACGGTTGACCTCATCAACAATGTAGGCAAACACTGAGCAGAAATGGAATGTCCTTTGTCAAACCCACGGAAGGTTCATCGCCTTACTGAGTTCACCGGTCGACAGACATATAAAAAGCGAAGCGGCTTTCACTTTCATCTGACAGGTTATCAGAATCGTGAGAGTTTAGTTCATTTAAAATTCGTTATTGTCAAAGAGAAGGAAACGTTTGACAGCAAAACAATTATCATCAATCGATGAACGCCTCGTTGTGCTTGAGGAAAATATCTTGATCGATCAAGCTCTGTTGTCGAATCTGACTTAAAAAATAAAAAGACGGAAACACTTAGTTATTACAGTGGAATTCAGAAACTTGGTGTAGGTTCATTTTGTAAAGCCCGTGTTGATCATATACCCTAGGATGCTGTCATAGTTCGTTCCGGTACTGATCAAAGTAAATCCAAATAAAATCTGTTCCTATTGATTACTGTCGGAAAGTAAAAGATAGTTCAACAATTCATCGAGCCAAAACTTGAACGAGTCATTGGTAGAGGCAAAACAATTTGAAGTGAAGTCCAACGATCCAATCCATGCGTCAGCAAGTTGATTAGTTCCACTGGAATATCCTTTATAATGGATAGCGCATGAAATCGAAAGCTTTTGATTGTTCTCAGATTCTATTTTGAAAATCCACGGCACCAAACTGTGGGCGAAACGCAAAACCTAATGACAACATTTCTCTAGGTTTGAGGGAAAATATAATGTATAAACAATGGATCCTTCGGAATCGCACGCTATTAGGACAACTAGAACCTCTGTATTATTAGTCTGGTAGCATGGATATTAAATCTATTTTATCCGTCTTCCATCTACCATTTCAGTATGTTTTCTCACGTTACAGTCACATTTGGGTTATAAATTTGAGATACAAATGGCTTACTAGCACCTGGTTAAGTGATTTCACTGCAATTGTTTCAAACGGTCCCGAAATGAATCAGGTTCATCAAGTTGACTTACATCTAACTCGAGGATGTCCTTGTGCATGTTTGTATAAGACCTCTCCTATTCGGAAAGAATAAACTATAGGTCCTTTACACCGGAACCCCCGGGAAGCACTCAGTTTCCACAGATGTAGAGAGACACTTGCGAAGAATTTATAAGGTTTACCTTTGTGAACTGGTACTTTACTTCGGTAACTATTAAGAAACAACCTAAGGTATTTCACAACAAAAGATCCACTAGAAGGTTGATGTATCTAATTCGAATTGAAACGTGCACTGTACTGGTTTGTGAAATACAGAAAGTGAACAAACAAATGGCAAGGGACCAGTTAGTTTGGTCTATATCTGTATTATCTGTATTCGCATAACTGATGCAAGCTTGTATGCTTACATTTCAGTTAAAAATGTACACTGTTCGTCACGCACAATGAAATAATAATAATAAAAACGAAAGGTAAAGAATGCCGGTGATATATGGTTCATGTACCAAACTTTTGACGTAGTTCATTTGAGACCCGTTCCTTATTGGTAAGTAGTCAGGCCAGGTAGAATACAGGGAAATTTTTATAAATGTTAATCTGAGAGGGTAGCTGTCGAAATGAACAGCGTATGAACGGATGGGAACGACAACACGATAAATCAGTGTAGTGGATGAAGAAGATCATCTAGAATCTTTTGTGCAAATTTAAAACAAGAGTTAATGTGATCATCAATGAGTTCTTTGATTATTGAATTGATCGGAGCTAATGATGCACGACTGATTATCACCAAACCACGGCGAATTGTTTTGAAGTCTTGTTTAAAAAGACCGGGAAACACTACAGGGAAGCAATAAAGTAGAATGGGTAAAACGCAGTAATGATCGAAAGATGACAGGACTGATTGTGGGGTTCAGAATTGCCTGAGTTTGTGTAACTGAAAAGATAGGCGTCTCAGTTTTCCCACACAGTTGTAAATATGTGTAGACCAATGATGGTGACACCCAGGTACTTGACTCAGATAACTTTGGATAGAGGTTTACCGTTAAAGGTAGCAGAGTCCGTTGGTAATGAGGAGCGGGAAAGAATGAATATGCACTTCACGCACTTAGATATGTTAACCATGAGACCAGATTGATCAGAAAACTGTTGGATGTGGGATAGGTTTTCAGTAAAAGAATGAAATGCTGAATGAGATGAAACTGTCTGACACAAAACAACGTTTGCGTGTTGTCTTACAACAAAAAAAGACATGGATAAATGGGAACGTATTTCACATGTTTTCTGGTTGCGTAAAGCCATAGGGGTAATCAGGTAACAGTAAAGTTTGTCACTCTGTATAATGGTAGATTTGAAAGCCCCTCGGACAGAATCCTAATGAGGAATCACATGCAATGGACTGCAGCTGATATGTTAATGAACTATGCATCATATTTAAAGTTGAAAGTCTGCACGCCCCAAAATTTATCACCCAGTAGCTTCTTTGGTAATGATTTCTGGGCGTGTATGATGATAAAATACTTGACAAAAGTATCGACTATCCATATTCCAACCACAAAATCTTTGAGACTGGTGACAATATGTGCTCACAGAAATGGAGACTTGTGGAAACAGTATCGATGAAGATGTTTTAAACTGTTTCAATTTATTAGTTTGGTTAGAAATAGGTGGCAAGCAAACTGTTTTGATGTTTTATATATGATAGAACTATAATAACTCATGGACTTTCCACAAAAATACGTCTAGAGTAGATACTTCGGTAGTTAATTTGGTACTAACTAACTGGTTTAAGGTATCTTGAAAAATACTTATGTAACATCATTGTATTGAACGGTTCAGAAATTTCTGTCAGCCCCATAAAAATGAAGAGTGACCTTTTTTGGTTACTCCACAAACAGGGTACACAAATTGATTTACATTGTGCAAATCGCATGTATCAAATGAGACGATATTACTCCAATATTTTTTTGTCTATCAACTGCAGGGACAGCAGTGGCTTTTCGTATCCGGACCACACAGACACCTCACGATGTGATGGATGAAACTGTAGACGAAGACTGAATTGATGACGACAAATGCGGTCAGCGAGGTCTCCCTAAAGATAGAAGCTGACAACAACATCATATTTTGTCCAAATATCGCCAATAATGCCCGAGTAGAAATAAGAATAAATTATGATTGTTCTTGAAAACCTTGTGATGAGAAAATGCCCTTCTTTGTCGTTTACGGCGTTAATGAGACCACATTTGTCTTTATCGGTACGATGAGAAATTTACCTCCTTGCCGGTTCCGGAAAGAGTGTCAGTTAATCGACCACCGCATGACAGGAAGAGTAGAGTTTGTCCAGTATCGGTCTAGAAGGAACTCCACTGTTTAGTACTTTTACAATGCCATGCAAACTATATCAGTAAGCATCGAAGATGCCACCTCACTGGATGCTGATAAAACTTTCGTAATCCAATTGTCAAGCTCGGGGAGCATGCTTGTATTTCACTTGTTCGCACACCACGGATTTGCTGCCGAGAATATAAGTAATTATCAAGCCTGAGCCTATCACACATGTCTGTGATGACCCATTTCATATCTCATCGAAATAAGGACCATGTGAATCTCCTTATACTCGATTCATTTTCTGAACGTTGCCTATTTTGGCATTTGTTCGGTTCCCCGAACCAAGAGTATTAATTTATGCGTTTTCAATTTGAATATTGCTGACCCAGTCCAGCAGATCCGAGTAAATCTGGGCGGTTACGGTCAAACCGGTTAAAGTCACCGACTAATCCTCCCAGACAGAGGTCGACTGTGTTTGAATCTCATCAACTCCGCCTTCGCCGCTACCGCCACTGTTTGCTTATCCCGTTTCCGTTGTGTCATACGCGAGCCATCTGATTAAACGTTTCCTTAGGTAAAGTGTTGATATCCTTTCATTTTCACTAAAGGAAAGTAGAAGGATTATTTAAATAACTTTATAAGAAAGAGAAAAAACACAATAGCATTTGTCTAATTATGAAAATGCTCTACAAGACCGTAAATGAGGCGAAACCTGCAGAGATTGACGGTATTTTATGAGAGTTTCCTTTAGTGGCTTCACATGGTGGACCGATTCAAGTACGGTTTGATAAGCTTTAAAATTTCTGCTGAAAACAGTCAATCTCATAAATGAGTAACCCAGTTCTGTGAGATTAAAATGCACAACCAATGTACAGCGTAAACCAACTCATTTTCACCCACCCTTCCCAGTTCCAGTCACATCTGGACTAGATAACATACCGGAAAAAGTAGATACAATCTTTCAAGATCAATAAATATTGATTGTTATTTTTTATAACTACTATCTTCACCCTCTTGTATTTTATTCCAGTGATCTTTCAACCAAAGAGGACGAATCGCTGAAACGAGTCTTGCTTGCTACAATGTGTTCTATTAAAATGATTTGTTGAGAATCTGACCAAACGAATCAAAAAGCTTTTGCGTGCAACAAATAAAAGTGTACCCATTCTTATCCCCATACATGACGTTCCCAAGCCTTAATTTACCTAATCTTGTGCCTTTCTTAATGAGGTGATGAATCACACTTGATACGGTGCATTATTCATTAATACGGTATTCCACCAGATTTGATTCTGGGTCATTACAGGATCAAGAACATCTCCGAAATGCCACCGGAGAAATGCATTTCGCTAATATTGGTTCTATGCTCCTATAGAATTTCATCTCCAGGCACCAAAATGAAATAGATACCAAATGTGGCATTTTGATCAGTTGTACTCAGCTGGCAAACCAAGTGTTCTTTGAATATTTCAAAAAATCTGTTCATTTCGTATCCCCAAGCATGTAGCTTTCTTCCTCAACCATCACAACTTGCATGACTTCCCCCTGTCCGGATTTGGACTATTCGACTTCAATTAACATTCAACTGAACAAACATGGGTATTTTTAGATAATAACCGTTGAACAACGAAATGAAACTAAACATGTATAAAAAATCCCTGCACTCCAGTTTATTGATCTTTGTTAGTTCATTCGAATGAATGCTTTCTCATGTCATGTTGAAATCGTTATAGCTTGATTGATTTCCCGATGTCATGCTCAAATATTTTTCACAACTTTTCAATAGCTCATGTTAGGAAATTTTCACGAAATGTAGAGCCTTCCAAGCCAATAAATGACTACCCAAGACTGAGTTAAGTTTAAAAAACGATAATCAATAGTGGTTATGGTTTTCATAGTCACTCGATTTGGCGACACTGAAACTACGTTCAAAATGCGATATGTATTTTGTTCTATGCTATTCATTAACGTCTGGTCGATTAAGTTGGATTGGCGCCAAGAATCCTCTGGCACAGACGAATTAACCTAAACGCACAGTATGTTTAGTTGTTGCATTATTGCCAAATTAGGCTTAAACACTATTTGTATAAGCAATGGGGCGCTAGTTTGCAGTAACTTTGACTTCATTTTCACAATTCACAGCGCTCAAAACCCCGTTTTATGCGGTTGCTCGGAGTCACAAAGTCCCAG